AAATGATTTGGGGAAAACGCTTTGATCCTGTGACTGCGAAGAGACCAGTACAACACATTCCCGAGTTCTGGTAGGAGACATTATTTCAGGTCATAGAGATGAGAGGCATGAAATAGTCCATTGACCCTGACTGCGAGCAGGCAAACTACATCTGGAGCAGGACTGTGAGGAGATTCTCCTGGCCGAGAAGACTCCAGCATTGTAATCCCGCGTGGATCCTGCCGGTGCCATTTAAAAAAGAGAAACTTACATTTCTTTTCATAAGGCAGCTACTATGAACGTCAAGTTGTGGAATTTATGGAAAGAGACTATTCTGTTCTTCTTTGTCTCACAGAAACGATGATTCTGAATCATTAGATATTGGCTTTGGGAGATATTATGACTCTCTTTGCAAATGTCAGAGGGCTTTATTTTTTTTCGCCTTAGTGTATAGATTTTCTCTCGTGGAGACGGTGTGTTTTCTTCAAGCACTGAGGGCTTGCTCCTAGACCGGAAATGCCTCTAACCGGAGGGCAAAGCTGAAGATCTCGGGACTGAGGGACCCAAGGCTGGTGTTGTCCAGGGCGCTCCTGCACCAGACCACTAGCCTGCGCAGGGAATGCGTGAATTAACTTAGAGCAGGCTCAAGTGGAGGGGAAAAGGAGCAAATGATTTTGTAAGTGTACGTTTACATTTTGGCAACCACGTTTGGTTTAACAGGACGGCCCCATTGACGTGATGCTCAAGGTCATGCGATGGGAGGCGCGCCCCTTCGGGGGGAGTCGCTTGTTGACCGCTAGCGGCGGAGATGGGGAGTGTGTGTGTGTGATAAGGAGCGTTGTGCTGACTGGCATCCTGTCGCCAGCTCTTTGTGCCAGGGGTGCGATAAGAGTCCTCAACTGAGACACTGAGTCTCCTCTGCCGCCTGCTACCCATGGTCTGCATGCACAGCCTCTCCGGGGCTCTATTTCATCTGTGAAATGGGGATTAAAAGCTGTCTCACAGGGTTGTTGTGAGGATGTGACAAGACGGCAATGTCAAAGCGCCCGCCTTCCAGAAGGTGCTAATCCAGTGTTACCTATTCCCTCCATGCCACACTGGCCAGGCAAGGCTTTGAGACCCACCTGAGTGTCCCATTTTTAGTGGTTCATCCCCATGTGTGTTCACACCCCTCACTTTGTGGCTGAAAAAGCAGAGGCCCACATAGGTTTTGTCATTAGCTCAGGGGCCCGTAGTGTTTGGCAGCAAAGCCAAGATTCTTGACGCTCCTTATCCCAATCCCAAGCCTGTGCTCCCTCTGTTACACCCACTGTTTCTTCTGGAACTCTCCCTGGAAGTCAGTGACAACCTTCCAAAGAAGTAGCCGAGAAAAGCCAAAAACAGACAGACTCCCCTAGTCACAGGTTGGCTAGTCGTCTCTTCAACCAGCAGGAAAGGGTGCCTTCGTCAGCTGGAACAGGCCGCAGACGCCAGTTCCCTGGGCTGGACGAGCCCAGAGCGCAGGCCAGGAGCGAACAGGAGAGCAGAAGGAGGACAAGGAGGACATGTGCTGGGATGACTCGGGAGTGAAGGTCACTCGGCGAGAGGCCCTGGTCCTACCCTGAGGAGGCCCACGTGCAGCGACACTCACAATCGTGTGGCTTCGGGAAGAGGATTCAACCTCTCTGGATCTCAATTTATGTATTGGAAAATTAAGTATCATCACCGCCTCCCTTTGTCTCTGCCTTGCTGTGAGGATCTAATGACAAATGAGACAGTTTGTGCAACACGCCCAGCATGGGGCCTGGGCAGCCGCGTCCCTCCCCTCCACCGGGTCGGTGACCTCGTGCGACTGCTCTCAGGGTTAAATTAGATGAGGCACTTGCTAAACAGGATTTACTCAAGCCAGGTTAGTTTCCCTCTCTCCCGGTTAAAAACAGGCTCCCTAACTGGTACGAGGTTTCTCTTGAGGGAGTGCGAGTGGAAGTGGGCGATAAATTGCCTCATTTCGCTCAGCGGCTGTTTCCCAATTCTCCTCTGCTGCTGCTGTACTCTCACAGTGTTTACCCGCGTTCTGGCGCTGGTTGTAGAAATAGATCCTTTGATGGTTTTGTCAAAATATCTTGGGAGCCAGAGGAACACGGGCCAAGTTAGTCATCCTTTTTGAAACTACAGTCGGGAGGCAATGTTTATCTTGCCCAACAAGACCCTGTACTAAAATATATAGTACAATTAGATGTCCTTGAAAAATACGGATTGTGGTTTCTCTGTAGACCAGGCTTGGGCAAGTCTGCTCTTTTAAGAGTTTATACATATTCATCAAGACGCTGGAGGTGGCCAGTGAAATAGGCTTTGGGGGCCCAAGTCAGAGATGATGATGGGCGTGGTGGGTGGAGAATGGTGTAGTTACCGCAGCCTAGATTAGAGGCCTCTAATCTAGCACCATCGCTGCAGGGATGGAAATGTTTTATTTCTGTGCTCTCTGAGGCACTTGAAAGGTGGCTAGTATGACTGAGTGATGGAATTTTTGGCTTTGTTTAATTTAAAGTGATTTGGATTTGGATTTAAATAGCCACATATGGTTTGTGGCTACCATATTGGACAACATAGCATTATACAGATTGCAGCATCCCAGGAGCAGCTGCTTCCAGGTGAGTCTCACATGGGTATGGTTTCCAGCCCCGCCCAGGGCAGCTTGATGTGACCACAGAGACGCCACTGCCCACTAGCAACTGGAACTAGGTTGAGCAGATTAGGACTTTGCTCACTGGAAGGACTAAAGCAGAACTGGGGAGAATTTGGGAGGGGCAGGAAAGGGGAGGGTGCAGTGTAGGCCACAGCTCAGCACCAGAAACTTCGGCAGGGGTTGGGGATTTTGGATCACGATGAGTTTCAGGCAGTCCTGCCTTGTGGTCTCCACATCACTGGCCCGCTAGGGACCAACCTCATCCGCTTGTCCCTGGAGCAAGATAAGTAGTTGGGAATAAAGAGACACAAACGTTGTCTCCAGGGGACTCATTGCCTGTGTTCTCCACTGAGCCCCCGAGGGTGGGACTTGCTTGAAGAATGCATGAGTACATTGGTTTTGGTAGCTGGTGGGTGAGATAATGCCACTGATGTGACTCTTTGGTCTCCCTTAATGGGAAAGGGACCCTCCTGAGTTCACACCAGCAGGGCATGCTCGGGCACTGGGGCCGTTGGCAAGTGGGAGAAACTCAACCTGGCTTGTGCCTCCTGCTGTTCCTTCCTTCTCTTAATACTTGTTTCCCTCTCTCGTCTCCAAGCTCCCTGGAGATGTCCTCAGGCTGGACCAAGCCCCTCAGTTCCGGTGAAGTTCCCATTCAGCCCTGGAGAGTGCAAACTGACCAATTTTCTTCCTAGCTGGTCTCAAGGAGAAAGCAACGTGCCTGCCCCCCACCCCCATCCTCAAGTCTCACAAACACACAGGGGCAGGTTACTGAGGAAAAAATCACTCAACTTGTTGTGTGGAGACCCTGGGTGTAAATGCTGGCTCTGCTGAGCATTCACTCGTGTCCCTGGGCAAATGATCCTCCCAGTCTAGGCCTTGGTTTCCCCATCTTTAAAATGGCGGGTTGAACAGTTCCTCACATGTTAACATTCCAGGATTAAAACAGATCCAGGGAAATGTGATTATCTAAGAGGCTTAATCACTCCAGGTGGCTTTGCCATTTAAAAGAGGAGCTGGTTAACCCAAATGAGTCTCTAATTGGCAGCCTGCGGTGGGGGGAGCTCCCTGAAGCAGGAGGCCTTCCAAACTTCCCCACCTGCTCCGGAAGCTGCCCTGCTGCCGGCTCCTCCAACCCTAAGGGACAGACAGCAGAGGGGACCCTCTGGCCTGAAAGGTCCCGCCCTTACGGCAACTGCTCTCCAGACGCTATCAGCCGCCCAAGGACGGATTTCTGTTTTTCCTGGACCTGCTTGGCTTACGGAGGGGAAATCTGGCTGGGGAGCAAAAGTTCAGATAAACAGAGGAATCCTGTTCCTAAAAAATAAGCCTCCTGGGAGTTTGAACTTGTGACTGGGAGTCAGGTGGCCCCGTTCCAGGCCTCCTTACAGGCCAAGTGGCTGTGGGCATTCCGCTTGAGTTTTGCTTTCATCCTCTTTGAAACGGGATGCTAACCAGCCTTGCCAACCTCGGCTGGCTGTCATGAGACCCAGTCGATGGCTGCCTCTGATGTTTTGTACAAAATGCTCTGCAAATGCAAAGTGGTGGTGATGGCCTGTTCGCGTTCTCCAGATACAAATATCTGCATGGTAATAATCAAACAGCACAACACCAGATTTCTTCTCCCAGCGCCGGGGAGTGTGTGGGGTGAAACAGTAAGATGCTAAATCACTCCGAGCTGTTTTAAGGATTAAGCAGAAATGTTAATGGCAACAGATGTTGGCTCGTTCCCTCCAGGAGGATTTAGGTTTCAGCGGAGTATTTCTCTGCTGGCCTCAGCCCAAGACGTGGCCACATTCCTTTCTCCAACCTCCTGTTCAACCCAGAGAGTGGCAGGGGCTCACTTTCTGCCCTGAGGTTAAAAATCTGGCTGGGAAACATTGGAAGCCGAATCTTGGCTTGGGAGGACCTCAATATGACAATAAATATCCCATAAGACCAGCTGATTCGCACCTTAGGGGAAATGAAATGCCGTCTGGAACCTAGTTTTTTATGGGTGTTCATCTCCGTGAACAGAGATGAAAGGACTAGGTTCTGGCCCGGGTTTGCAGATCAAGGTGGTCCAGCTGCAGGCAACTGCTCGAGGCCTTCTGGATGGAACATTCTAGGGAAGCATGAAAATGGACAGAGAGAGGCCCCCCCAAGGATTGCTTCAGAAATCACCAAGGTTTCTCCTCCTAGCCCTTGGCAGCAAGGTGGCCACGTTCTTGGGAAAGGAGAAAGGCTGCGTTAACATTGCTATCTGGAGCCTGTGCATTCCAGAAACGCTAACAGCAGAGCCAGAAGAACTTCTCAGCCTTTCAGATGAGTCACTGCACCCTGCCCTTCTGCAGGCTCCAGGCCACTGGGCACTCACCTTTGAAGGGGGACTGGGCTCGCGTCACGAGGAAGAGCTTCTTGCTCTTGCTCTGTGGTTGCTGGCGGACGTGGTAGCCCAGCGTGTTACAGCGGCTCTTCCTGCAGCTCAGGCACCGGCCTTGGCTGAAGCTGTCCATGTCGCTGCACATGTAGGCCGTGCTCTGCATGCCGTCGTGCAGCACGGAGTCGATGAACAGGTGCACCGATCGCTCGTGGGAGCATTTTATGGTCTTGGTGATGGCTGGAACACAGCGCAAGACATGTTATCACCCCTTAGCCCGAAGCAGCCTCCACTAAAACGATCGTCTCAGTTCTCCGCCTGCAGTAGATTAGCAGACGCACACCGGGGAGGCAGGGTGGGCTTGCTGAGCTCGACCCACTGACAACAGCAGGATGTAACAGCTGACTGGACAGTAGAAAGTAGAGAAAGTAGACCCTTCTGGGTTTAGTGTCAGCGCAAAATCCCAGGCCCCACTGGGCTCCTGGGGACACCCCACTATTCCAGTGTGTTACGGTAGATGTTTTAAGTCACTAAGATCAAATTATTTAAGAAAGCAGGGTAGTATAATTCATTTCAGAGCTATTTCTATCTCAAATGGTTAGAAATGCCTGAGTGTTGTTGCCTGGAGGGTGAGCTAGCTGGAACGGGCTTGCGTGGCTGCCTCTTTCCTTAATAAAGCCGGAGACACGAGGCACTCCTGTGGCACGCTGATGGCCTGGCGAAAGCTGAGGACTCTCCACAGTGCCGACCTTAGGTGACAGGCCTGTAAAGCCAGCTCGGGGATTGGATTTAGAAGGGCATGCCCCAGTACTCAGGTCTGAACAAGCCTAACCCTAACCCAAAAAAGTGTGCTTATGTTGATCTACCGTGGACTTTGATCTTTTTTTTTTTTTTTTTAATTCTCCAAATATTAACCAAATCTGTAGTAAACTATTCTCCAGGAATGTTGAGGAACCACCACCAGATGTGTACAGCACCTTATGTAAAGGTAGAGCACAGGTAACTTTGCCAAAAGCTATTTCCCCGGGTGTCTGGAGGCTGAACGCCAAGATTGGTTATGGTGGTCCTTGGTCACTAGTGGCTGCATTTGTTGAGCACCTACTAGGACGCAGGTGTATGCTGAGTGCTTCCCAGCCACGCACTCCTGAATCTTCCCTGCAGTTCCTGAGGCAGCTGGTATCAGTGAGGAACTGAGCTTCAAAGACGTCCACAAACTCACGCAAGCTCACCCAGCCAGGAGGTGGAGAGTGTGGGAAAGCAGTCACCGAGTGACCTCCTGTTCAGGTGCGGCTGGGAGAACTACCGCAGAATGGGAACACTTTCCCACGAAGGAGTGAAGAAAACTGAGAAAACCATCCTAAGGTTGGGCAAGCTGAATACATATGCTTTGTTCCATCATTTTGATGCTTGGCACAAAAGAGCTAAGGGCGGTGACTGGTCGGGACGTGTTTACCAGGCACACAGCGCCCACGCACCAGCCTGGCGGTCTGCGCTGGGCTTTGCGAGGAGGGCCCGACGGTCAGCTGGGAACTGCTGGCGACCGGAGGGCGCTGACCCCGGGGAGATGTGAGCGATGATAAGGGCGAGTTCCCAGAAGGCTCTCTCAGGCGTGGGCGGGTGGACGCCTGGGAGTCCAGCCAAGAGCAGAAGCTGTGGAGTGTGAAGGTCATTCTGATACTGGCGAGGTGCGGGTGACGTGATCACAAGAGCTGTCCTCAGTCCCAGCTCAGTGCCTGGGCCACTGGGGCGAGACGGTGGCGTGCGGGGGTGCGGGTCTCCCGTTGGCTTAGGGTGATTGGCAAGGTTTAATCAGGATGATGTTTTATAATCACAAGGAATCTGGAATGCCCGTGGAATGTGTGGTTTCTGCTGACATTTTTGTTCTTTAATCCTGTGCGTGTTACCAATGTGCATGTTAATGTTTCGGTTTTAGGATTTGAGAAAGAAGTGGGATCACAAACCAGTAATGCCACATTTAGAGTTTGCCCCGAGGTAAAGGATGTCACAAGGACGTATCTGAAGCTGAATTTCCCGCTGGAAGAACCACAATCCCTCCTGGAGGAGCAGCTGATTGAACCTCACAGGGGAGGGGCGTGAAGCGTGAGATCAAGAGTCAAGAAACCCGACCTGTCGACCTATCGTGTGGCTCAGAGGAAGCCCCTCGAGTGAGGAAACTTCTGGATGAGAAGTAACCACGGTGGGGCGGGGGGACAGGACTCAAACTTTCAGAAGGGCTTGTTCCGGGAGAGGCTGTGCCTGGGCACGCTGGCCGGGGTGAGGGGTGGGACCCAGGGCTTGGCCTGTCGCGGGAGCCGCCTGCTGGGGCCACCACGCTTACCCTCCCAGACACCCTGGGCCCTACCCTTGCCGAACTCTTCCCCGAGGCCCACAGAGGTGGTGGCTTCCACCGATGCCAGAGGCCCCGTGGGAGTGTAGGCTGGTGCCTCGGCCGTGACCCCTCTCACCGTGTAAGCCGTGCTCCGCGATGTGTTTGTAGAGTTCTAGGAAGTGGCAGCCGGGCTGGAAGGAGCCCCCGTTGGGGTAGAAGTCGTAGTGCGCGATGGGCCGTTTGATGCCCACGCTCAGGCCCATGTGCTCCTGGGTGAAAGTGTGAATGGCATCCACGAAATTGGCGTCATCTGGAGAAAGACGGTCGCTGGGGGAGGTTCCCTCAAACAAAGGGCCTGCAGCATCCAGCCCTGGTGGGAAGGCAAGGGTGAGGGTCAAGTGGGAGCAAGGAGAGGGGAGGAGAAAGGTGTTTTTTAGCTTTTTGATATCATTACACATTAATGCGCTAGCAGGAAGAAGAAAAACCTAGGGCATAATCTTTCTCCCCAAAATCTTGCCATAACCTTTTCTCAGTAAAACTGCAGTTATTCATGGTGCTAAAAATTAGACACAGGTTAGGCATTATCTAGGGGGGGGAAGAGGCCTGCAGAAGCTATCCAGTGGTAGAAATAAGGTTATGGGGCAACACTTGATTTATTTAAGCAAATCAATTTTAAGTACCCCTCAAGCTACTTTCAAGAGCACCTGTTTACATACAAAAAAGCATATGCGCTCATTAGAAGTAGTTCTAACCTACCCATCAAAGAAAGACTTTGCTTGCATGTTGTCAGTAATTTCCCTTAACGAGCTGACTTTTCTCCTACGCTAATGTCATTACACTGGAATGTCCAGAACAGCCTTGGGACGTCACTGTTCTGGGTGAAAATGTGAGCAAATAGGGCTGCTCAAAGCTCTGGTCCTTCTGTGACAGATGAGACCAAGTGGTAGCTCCTGGCTGACTGTAGTTGGGGGGTATTTATGCACTCAGAGGTGGTCCCTGTCTTTCTCCCTTAGCCTTCTCCTGGACGCTCATGTGTCCCACCTCAGCCCTGGCTTCCTACCCTGCTACAAAGGCAAGATGTCCTGGTGTGATTTATGTTCCTTTTTTCATCAGGCTGACAACAAGGTGACGGCAGTGAGCCCTCCCGCTGCCTCTAAGGTGGGTGGGCCCAGCTAATAAAAAAGCCTGGTGTGACCACAGCACAAGCCAGAGTGGGGGGCTCGAGTCTGAGGCTGCTCAGCTTTCTGGCTCCGCTGCCTCTAGCGGGAGGTCTGCTCACCCCCAGGCTACTGAGGGTTGAATCAGTGGGGGACCAGAGGAAATGAGTTCTCATAATGACAAATTTATTCAGTGTGAATGTCTGCCATTATCCCTATTCTTTTTCATGTTAAATCTGTTTATAAAGAAATGGTAACAGTAGATTGTTTTTAAAATGTTCTTACTTGATAAAATGTAAAATCACGACTCTGTTATTCATCTCAAATGTTCTTTGTTTTAGCCCGTGAGTAGTGTTTCAGCCTGCAAGGTGGTGAAGGATGAGTAGAAGCTTGGTGGGGAGGCTAGGACTGGGCGAATGAGTGGTGGGCAAGGAACGGTCTGTGCCAAGGCCCCAAAGCACGAGAGGCCGTGGTGTGTTCATAAAGTGGAGAAAAATCTAGTGTCACTGAAGCCTAAAACTACGCGAAGGGATGGGCAGGAGGGGAAGCTGGGGAACTGTGGGGACACCGTGCTGAGAAGGGCCTTGCCTGCACATACCACTGGGCCTCAGAGACTTCAGCTGGGGAACATCTGGCCAGCTGTGTGCTTTTCAGATCCTAATTCCGGGGTAGAGTGTGTGTCAGGGCGTTGGTGTCAGGGGCACGTGGGAGGAAAGGCCTTCTTGCACGTGTCTAGCTCTTCCTGGGTATCTGGGGCCATTTCTGAGTGAGCGTGGAGTTTGCGGTGAGGTTTTTCGTGCAGAGCTCCCTCCTTCAACCCAAATGGGTCACAGAGTAAAACCCATGTGTCTTACAAACATGGAAACGGAGACACTGTCACGGCTGATGTGTTATAGCAAATTAAAGCTGTGATTTTTCTCTCCCTACCTTGCCCACATTAGGCTTTGTAAACTATAGGTTAAAAAATAGGACTCTCTCTTGCTACAAAAGTGTACAGAAAGTCCCCTTTTTAGTCCTGTTTGGTACCTCTACGAGAGGCATTTGTTCGAGTAAAGTCGATAGGAGTTGAGGCTGTAATTTCTCAGAACAGAAATCCATGAAGTCGGGCGTGTTTGAGAGAGCGTTTCAAGTCCTGCAAACTCCAACACATCACAAAACAAAGGTGGGGCGTTTTCACGATGAGACTGTTGGAAAAGCAGCTCCTTGCCCAACGCCCCGGTGCAGCTGTGGAGATTAGCTTGTTAGTTATCAGGCATGGGTACCTGTAATTCTCCCAATCTTGCGCTTTCGGCCGATGTAATTGCCAGCGAATCCCGAGACGTGTGCACCCAGGCTGTACCCAATTAGGTGAACGTTGCTTGGAGAGAACTGAACAGATTCCTGCAAGACAGCAGCGGGACGGTTGCCGGGGAAGAAGAGCGGCCTGGGTGAAAGCCTTCTGTGGGTGCTGTGTGTTCTGGGGCCCACCCTGTCCTCTGCCCCTGTTCGCAAATGAGGTGCTTTATTCGCACTCCAGACCGAAACTGGTTTCTCACCGGGCTGACTCTGTCCTCTCAGAGGGCCTGGCCCTGTTTTTAGGCTCAGGTACCTGGGACCCTGTCTGGAGACTGCTACCTCCTGCCTGCCTGTCTTACCCCAGATACGAAGGCTCTACCGAAATGACCCTGGTCATCTGTGTTGGGGGCTGATGGTTTGCAGGGTGTGTTTGGATCCCTTGGCATGTCCAAGGAGGTAAGCATAAGAGGAATAGAGGATGAGGAGTGTGGGGAGAAGACAAAACAGGGGTTCAAGGGAGGCATCTGAGAGAGCCCTGGGGTCTGGTCTCAGATCCGTGCCTTCCTGTGAGTTTAGCAGTAGCAGCTCTCCTGTCTGGGGTGCTGTTAGAGATCAGCTTAATTCGGGCACTCTTAGAGGAAGGGAGAGGAGGGCAGAGGTGCAGGCAGAGGAGGATGGGCAGGTCTTACCTCCAGCCACTGAAGAAGAGCCGCGACCTCCTGGCCTGCGAGGCGGGTATCGCGCACAGCGATGGTATAGTGTTGGTGCGCCAGGGTGAGCCAGTCCGCCAGCCCCACGTTCACTGGCTGGGCTGGCCGGGACTTCAGCGCGGCCACCAACTGCCAGATCCAGTTTTCCAGCTTGCCGTCCACCTGTGGAGGGCATGGCAGGGGGCTCCACTAGTCTCCTTTCTCCCTGCTCGCCCTCTTCCTTCTGCAACTCTTGCATGATGCTGGACCCGTCTCCCCTAGAGAAAGGGCTTACCGTGGGGTTGCTCAGCCTTGGTACTGTTGACATTTTGGGCCACATACTTCTTTGCCGTGGGGGGCTGTCCTGTGCATTGTGTAATGTTTGCCGGCGTCCCTGGCTCCACCAACTGGATGCCAGCAGCAGTACCTGACACCCCAGGCTTTGAAAACCCAAAATGTCTCCAGACTTTGCTAAATGTTCCCTACCTGAGAACAATGCTGAAGTCTGTGTAAAACAGGTCCTGAAAGCTGACCTGTCCTTTTAGGGCCAGCTCCATGCCGCCTCCTCCGCAAAGCTGCTCTACTACACCTCTGAATCCCACCCCACTGGCTGCATCCTGCTGGCGTTGGCAGGACTAGCTCCGTGAACCTGAACATCAGGCTTGTAGGAGCTAAAGAAACGTTCATGGAGAATTGCTCTGTGTATGTGCCTGGTTTGAGAACCAGTTTGCAGGGCACTCCTATGGATTCACAGAGCAAAGACATCTGTGCTGTGTCTTTAAGACTCAGTAGGTGTTCAGTAAGAAGGGTGGGCAGGTGCGCGGCGGGGTCTGGGCAGAAGGAGCCGCAGGTGCAGAGGCACAGAATCATGAAAGGGCAGCGTGGTGTGTCTGGGGAGAGGAGGAAAGTTGGGTGGGTTGAAGGCTAGACTGCAGGAGGTGAAGCTGGGAGCTCTACCGAGGACTCGGTGTGTCATTCCAGGGCAGGATGCAGTCATTTATAATAATAAATGCTCATCAAGAGCCTTCTTTGTGCATGTACTCTCTTGAGGTCAAATCCAGGCTTTCTCAGTTACTAGCTGAGTGACTCGGGCAAATTATTTAACTCCTCTGTGCCTCAGTTTCTTCATCTGGAAAAATGGGGATAGTAAAGTTTTCCTTCGAGGATTGTTGCGAAGATGAACTAAGTTAACAGATATAAAGCACTTAGAAGAGTGCCTGGACCATAGTGAGGACAGTAGATGTTAGTTACTGCAGTTGTTATTACTACTAGCAGTAGACATGTTCTGGGCTGGACAGAATTTGGGTAATGAAGAATGCATTTCGGTAGAGGGATCCTGGTAAGCGGACCCTGTGATCTTCATGTTGCATTTGTAAACAAGAATCATTCATCTGATCATTAATTCAGTTAACATTTTGGAGCACCTAATGTAGCGATACTGTCCCATGGTGGTCAGTTAGGTGTAGGACCTTCCAGCCTAGCGGAGCAGAGAAACTTGGGCCATTATAAAGCTGAGCAGCAGAGCAGCTCTGGAGAGTGCCCAGGGTGGCATGGGGGCTCCCGGGGACACATAACGCCCCTCGGGGAGTGCTGGGATGCAGGCAGAGGAGGCCTGCAGGAGGACCTGTGGGAACAGTGGGACTTAATCAGGAGAAGGAGAGGAGAAAGGACACTCTAGGCAGAGGGCGCAGCCAAGGCCAAGAGGAGAGAAAGCGTGTGGTGTTGGAAGGAGCTACAGGAGTTGGGTGTTGCCGGAATCAGACATGGGAGGCAGGGAGCGGTGCAGGGGAAGCAGGTGGATGGATGGGCCCATTTTGCTCCCTAGGGTAGGATAGATGGGGATTTCAAGAGTACTTTCCAACTAGATGGCAGGGAAAGGTTTCTAAGTCATGAAATAGACACTAAAACCTTAGGAGGTTTCCAATCGTGAACTAAACTTCAAATCATGGGTAGGCTGGGAACCAGGGAGGCAGGATTTCCTCCTGAAGTCACATGGTTTGACATCACTCATTGCCCACAGTCTCCTTCTCTCCTTCTTACATAGTAATAGAATTTTCAGTATCACTAAAAGGGTACATTTTCTTTTCTTTTTTTTTTTTTTTGAGACAGAGCCTCGCTCTGTTGCCCCAGCTACAGTGCAGTGGTGTCATCATAGCTCACTGCAACCTCCAACTCCTGGGCTCAAAAGATCCTCCTGCCTCAGCCTCCTGAGTAGCTGGGACTACAGGCACATGCCACCATGCTGAGCTAATTGTTCTGTTTTTGTAGAGACAGGGTCTTGCTCGTGCTCAGACTGGTCTCAAGTGATCCTCCTGCCTTGGCCTCCCAAAGTGCTAAGATTACAGGCATGAGCCACTGCACCCAGCCTACATTTTCTTTTCTTTTCTTTCTTTCTTTATTTTGTCTCTTATTTTTGATTTCCTCACTCCTTTGTAGATCCAAAGATTCATTTTCTGTAAGAAGCTATACTTCTCAGCCACTTTTCCACCTAGGTATGGTCAATGGATGTAATTGGAAGCATTTCAAAGATGCTCTGGGAGGCCTAAGAAAACATTCTTTTATACCAAATGATATTGAATTATGTACTTTAAATGAATAAATTGTATGCTATGTGAATTATATCTCAATAAACCTGTTTTATTAAAAGAACCTGCTTTTTGAGCCTTTTGTGTACATCCTTTATTAAATTGTGCTACCTGGAATAACGATGTGATAGCAAGTGCTCTCACTGCCATCTTGGGCTATGAAGATAAGGGTCACACTTAAAGCTGGCAGAGCAGTGGGCTGGAAAGAACTGGGGCCTTGAGGAGTTCATTGACCAAAGCTGACTAGCCAGTTTTGGACTATTGGGTGAAATGAAAAAAAAAAACACTTCTGTTTTACCTGAACTACTGTTAATTTGGGTCTCTGTTATTTGCAGCTGAACTTAAAGCTTACTGATATAACCTTTCACTGGGAGTCCATCTCTCTGGCTTTCCACTTCCTCCTGTGAAACATGCAGATGCAGGGTAGGATTCTTCCTCCTGCATGGACTGTAATGCCTAATGAGCCACGTGACCTCTTTGAGCCACATTTTATCAGAAGCATGGAGATAATTATATTTTCCCACCCCGCTTACTCATCGAATTGAGATAATCAATGGGATAAAGTGTGGGGAAGCACTTGGAAAATTAGAATGTGCTTTGCAAACATGCATGAAGTTGTTATCATCAGCTCTCTATCTTTTTATTAAGATTGAATGCACTAGGAAGAAAAAATGTGAAAGAGCAAAAAGGCACGTCAGCATTGCTTACCGACCACCCGTGGATTATCATCACCAAAGGCTGGGAGGCGTTGAAGCCACACTCCTGTAATGTGTCTTGGCGGTTGAGCCGAATCTGACAGCCCTTACTGGTTTTATCTTCAAAGAGCAGGAATCTGGTCTTTGTCTCCTGCAGCGTTTTGTTTGTTTCAACAGCTTGAGACCTTCTTCCAGATGGCTCTGGAATATAAGATTGGGGATGGTGTTTAGCTTGGCGTGTGTTCCACCTCTGCCGGCTCTGGGTCCACCAAAAGGCTGCTTCTAAGAGCACAAACCAAAGAGGTTACTGTGAGATGCTAGAGATCAGAATGAGCCACCACTTTGGGGAACCCCAAAGAGCGTTTCCAGTAAAATGGCCAGATGAGGGAGCGTGACCTAGGGGACCTAACATAGAGGTCCAGGGGGCCAGATCTTCCATCCTTTCATCCTGCTATCCGGCGACAGCCAGTCAGACACTACAGTAACTCTAAGGCATGAGGAATATAAGCAAGGCAATTTTGGAGGCTCAGGGCAAATACCTCATCCCAAATCACTCTGTCAACAAGTGATAGAGTGAGGGTTTGAACCCAGGTCTCACTGTCTCCAGTTCCCACCCCTACATCCCTATCTAGGGAGACAGGGCGTAGATAGTCTTCATTAGTGATGCCATGTGGCTCAACTTGTTCTTACTTGCAGACACATTGTATCACACGTGCCTTGCGTGGACAAGGTATGGGTTGAGGGTGGGCTTGGTGGGGGAGTGATAGATTCTGCTTGATGGAGGGGGTGGCACAGGGGTTGCTTCTCAGGGAATGTGATGCCTGCCAATCCTGATCTTGAAGGACGATGGAGCTGTGTGTGTGTGTCTGTGTGTGTGTGTGTGTGTGTGTGTGTGTGGTGGGCGTGGGCAGAATAAGGCTTTCTGAACTGAGTGAACAACACAAATGGAGGCCCAGAGGCAGGACACCTGTGGCCACAGAGGCAGGACATAGGGCAGGGCAGGCCAGAGCAGGGAGGGCCCTGGGGTGCTGAGGAGTCTGGGCTTTCTGCTTTACATGACAGGCTGCTGCTAAGAGTTTTTCAGCAGAAGACAGATGAATACCTATTTGGAATCTTTCAAAGACCTTGGCAGGTGGGAGAGAGAGAGAAAAATTGTTTTCAAGATTTCATCTTCTGCTGTTTTACTGAAGGGCCTTATAGCCTCTCTTTTGGGGGTGGGGCTCCCCCAGACTTGACTCTGGAGTAGGAGTGGGTTGTCATCCGACTCCGAGGGCAGCCCAACAGCTGTCAGGCCCAGGATGAGAGAGAGACACCTCTGCTCAGAGGCTGAGGGAAGCCTGAGGAGGCACCGTGTTTCCCTGGGTTGGCATGTCAAGATGGGTGACATTTTTCCTGCCAAAATTAGGGATCAGGCCAAGAGCTGGGGCAGGAAGCTCTCATCCCCCTTCTGGCTCAGGAGCAGACACAAGACCACGTGGACATTTTTGGTCGGTGAATGCAGTTCAACCCAATTAAGGACCCTGATCATTCTTTCTGTCATAAAATCATTCAGGCTTCTCAAATAGTAAGTCTCGGGCTTTTGGTTTCAGGGGACAGCCAGACTGAGAGATGATGAACCTACAAAGTGCAAGGGGAAGTATTAATGAAACCAATTTTCCTACCCAAAGGTTATTAATTCAAAAGGTTATTAATTCCCGGCAAAGGGCAATGATTTTTCACTATGGTGACAGAATGAAACGTGTCATATTTTATTAAAGGAGATGTGAGTGAGAATCTGAATAACTTTTCTGAGATAATGAAGAAAATTTTGCTGCCTCATTTGGCTTTCCCGAGCCCATAGATTGCCCGAGCTCATCCTCCTGTGAGCCTGCTCCCAGCCCAGGCTCCCCGTGTCCCTGGACGCACTGCCCTCCTGGCCATCTACGTCGGAAGCTGCGGTGTCACCTTGCACTTGCATGCCAGCCTCTCCAGCAGTCCAAAGCTTCGAGGTTCCTGAACATCCCTAGAGTCCCATGCCCTGATTCCTGTGCTCACTGTGTCTTGCTTGGTTTATTGCAACAGCCTCCTAAGTGGTCTCTCTGTTTGGTCTCTCCATCCTCCTGCACACAGCTGCTCAAAGAATCTTTCTAGAACAGAAATGACTTTCCCTGTTAGTGACTGTAAGCTTCTTGGTAATGCAGCCCAGGCCATCACCTTAATGATGATCCCGCATCCCCCACTCCTCCCTCGCTTCCTTCCCCCACTACCCATAGTTCCCCAAACGCCCCTTCGCTCCCCTGGACCTGTGCCCTCTCTTCCTGCTCTGCTGCTCCATCCATTAAAGCAGAACTGAAGCATGACACCCTCCACGAAGCCTTGTCATGTAGCCAGAGGTTATCGCTCCCTCTTGCTCTCAGCGCTGCCCAGCGTTCCTGATCCTACCGTGCTCATCACAGCCCGGCAGTTTGCTTGTTCAGGTGTGCGCCTGGTCCACAGGCCGAGAGCTCGGGGCGGGAGAACTGGGCATCCGGGAGGCGCTCAGTGAATGCTGACTGAGTGGCCTGGTACCCCACGGGTCCAGATCTCAGATCAAAGGCTAACGTTCAACCTGTCAGCCATTTACACCTTGCACCTAACGTAGCTCATTTTCTTTTGTTTAGTGCCTGAATAGCTACACCTTTCTTCATTTCAAAATAGCTGCCTCGAATGCTAAGAGGGCCGTATGAAAATAAAATGTGGATAAAAATAGTAGCCATCTCATAAGGTGGTTCCGAGGGTTAAATAAGATAATCGTAAAGAGCTCAGAGTGACGCTTAGCATGTAATTAACACCTATGGAAGGGTGTGTTGTTAAAATAAGTACCAACTGGAGCATCGAGCATCTTGCATTTTTGATCTGTGAAATCCTTTCTTTCTGTGAAAATTCACCCCAGCTGCCCTCTCAGGACCAATTCTGTCTTATGTATATTTACTCTGGATTTAGCTGGGAGATCAGCTCCAGTGCTGTTCGGGAGCCACCACGGAAAAGAGCTGTCAGATGGAAAGGCCCCCGGACTGCTGAGCTGGGCTCTCCCTTCTCTCCCTTCCTGGGGGTTTGGCTGTCCGGAACATGTGCACGAGGGAGGAAGTTGTACGCACTGTACACAGGTATGTGCTGGCTCGTTCATTCACTCGCTTCCTCAACACTCACTCATTAAGCACGGATTATGCCCCAGGCCCTGGCTAGGTACTAGTTGGTGGCAGACAGGGGAATGGCCTCTGTCTTTCAGCTGTTGAGAGTGTTGCCGTCCGCTGCAGGGGAGGAACGCCCTGGGGAGGGACTCTGGGGAGGGACCGAGAGAAGATGAGGCATCAGTCCAGCCTAGAAGGATGAAAGATTCTTGGGAACACAGGTCTATGAGAGATTGTTGAAGAAAGTGGGGCTCTGGTACCTACAAAAATAAGATTTAGTGGAGGACATGGGAATCGAAGAGCCATTGTGGAGAAGAGGGACTAGACATATTTTGTGAAACTTCAGGAGTTAGAGTCAGTGGGCAGATATGATGTGGAAGAAAATTTTTGACTTTAAATAGTTCACAAAAATGTATAGTTGAAGAAATTGAGACAGAGAAAATAAGGGCAGTAAAACAATAAAGATAGAAATGTTAGTATTAACACCCTAAAATGCACACTATGTGATGCTATAGATTCCTAGAAAGTAGAATCATTAGTTCCTTAGGTATGATCCTACTTATATCTCTTTATATATGCATATATACATTTATATATATATATATATCATCAGCTATAAGCCTGCTGAAGATGGGCCACAGATTTTATTCTGAGTGTCCTATCGGCCACATCAAAGAGGAAAACAGGGCCGGGCGTGGTGGCTCACGCCTGTAATCCTAGCACTCTGGGAGGCCGACGCGGGCGGATTGTTTGAGCTCAGGAGTTCGAAACCAGCCTGAGCAAGAGCGAGACCCCATTAGAAAGAAATTAATTGGACAACTAAAAATATATAGGAAAAATTAGCCGGGCATGGTGGCGCATGCCTGTAGTCCCAGCTACTCAGGAGGCTGAGTCAGGAGGATTGCTTGAGCCCAGGAGTTTGAGGTTGCTGTGAGCTAGGCTGACGCCACGGCACTCTAGCCCGGGCAACACAGTGAGACTCTGTCTCAAAAAAAAAAAAAAAAAAAAAAAAAGGGAAAACAGGAGCAGTTATAGGACTCATGGTGTCTAGGTGCTGACACTTTCCTAGTCCTGAAACACAAGATAGTTTCCCTATGTGTTGCTATATGAAGAAGTCACCGGCCGGGGCTTGTGGCTCACACCTGTAATCCTAGCACTTTGGGAGGCCAAGGTGGGAGGATTGCGTGAGGCCAGGAGTTCAAGACCAGCCTGGGCAACATAGTGAAACTCTGTCTCTACATAAAAATAACAAAAATCAGCCAGATGTGGTGACGTGTGCTTGTAGTCCCAGCTACTTGGGAGTTGAGGTGGGAGGATTGCTTGAGCCCAGGAGTTTGAGGCTGCTGTGAGCTGTGATTGTGCCACTGCACTCCAGCCTGGGCAACAGAGCAAGACCCTGTTTCTAAAAATAAATAGATAAATAAATTTTAAAAAGTCTCTGGGTGAGGCAGGGGCTGTTGTCAGGAACACCATTCTTACAGAATATACAGCAATGAGTTTTACGTGGTTAACTCTGAGAGCTCTGCAATCCTCAGTGGAAACAGCAGCCACAGTACCAAACAGCATTTAAATCACTGTCATCGAGCAGCAGTCCCTGTAACGGAGGAAGGCAGGGGCCACTTCGGGTCCTGCTTTTGGGTGGTGGGAGTAGAGTGCCAGGACCCGAGCATCTGAGCCTCCCTGGAAGCAGTCTGATGGCCCTTCCCGGTACACTCAGAACACCTGGGCAAACTCAGCTGAGCCCATGACCTCAAGGACTCCCAGCTGTGGCCTCATCCACGCCTTTGCTGGAATCTGTTTCCCAAGCGTCAGCCCTGCGTATCGCCCGCTCTTGCTGGGCTTCTCTACCTGGGCAACCTTTGGGCTCTGCAAACTCAGCATGGCCAAACCGATTCATTCTCCTTCCTTCCAACCCTTCTTCCTTTCTCCCTACATTTCCTATGGTGGATCATAGCCCCGCCATTCATCCATGTTGTTGCTCGAGCTAGAAAGCTTAGAGCTATGCCCTCCCAGCCTCAGAATTATCTTCTCTGCCCCGGCCACTGGCCTAGT